ATACAGAAGTTGAAATCCATAAATTCTCTTCCTTAAGATATTTAGGTGCCTGAATGACCTTGACAGTGAAGATATTTAAGGTGCCTCAATGACCTTGACATGGAGACATGTGCCATATATCAGTGACCGACAGTTGTGATGTTATAACACATGCAATATGCTTGACAGTCAAGACATTTTGCTTAAATCTATTGTCATGCTTGTTTAATCTCAATGACCTTGACATTTATGCCATAATGACCTTCAGAAAAAGGACAAAAACATTTGCATATCAGTCAACCATGACATACCGACAGACTCAGCGATGTGGAAATGGTAGAAGTACAATGCCTGAAAGATGGGTGCAGGTAAAATGCATTACCGGAAGTCTCTGACATGGGTTCTTCAAAAGACATAGTTAAAAAGTCCCCTGAAATAGATGTCTTCAGTATGAGGCTGAAAAGGAAGATATTTTCTGGGCTCCTTTCTATTATATATTACAAGGCAATTATAAAAAGAGACATCTTTAAATATTTTCATCTCAGGGACTAAATGTATAAACTGCCTCACCTGTACAGTATGTCCACAGGGAAGCAGTATCTATTTGTCAGAGAATCAATGAATGAGTTTGACACAACTTTTAGCAATACACAAGCCATATAACAGTGGGAAACAACAAATGACAGGGCATCAAATGGTGAATAACACCCCCCCAAAAAATACATGAGGCTCCTAACTGATGAAGATACCATTGAAGCATCTCCATCTTTACTTGAGCTACATGATATATGAATATGTACATTTATCCTTTGAAGTAGTTAAAGGTAACAAGCTTGTTTTCTGTTGACAATGTGATACTACATGGATAAGGAGACATGATCACAAGCCAATAAGAACATTATTGTCATGGAACAACAGGCATGCAGGTCCCTCAAATACCTCTGATCCCTTTTCCTGACTGTCAACATATATTACATGTATACTGATGGAAATAAATAAAGGAACAGACAGAGAGAGCAGCATGTATTTGATGTGACATCTGTATTTACTCTGAAGATATGGTCACAATGTTTTTATTTCATGCTTTACCGGGTACATTTTTTTGCTGACCAAATAGATTGGGTTTGTAAAATTGAGAAATGTTTGTGAGGCTCGATATTATTAAATTGCATTTGGCATAAACTTAGTGAAATAAATAAAAGCTTGTGTTTCAAGTGGAATGTTTTGTATTTTTACAGTAACATATGTATTTACTTTTAAGATGGTGTTGTTTTATTTCTAAGAGTTTGCAGTCCCCAGAGATTTCACATAATTATATTTAAAAGTTAATTGTTATCAGATTTTGTACGATATTTGTTGTTGCAGCTGCTTATTTTTCTAATCCACATAAGATGGTTGGGCAAATAAAAATAGATAGAAAACTTTTTTTATTTAATTTTAGAATTGTGATACTGTTTGGCACAATCCATGAACCCAAAAATACACAAGCGTGGCCTAACTGATCTCTTCATCAATGCAGTCACAGAATCCGATGCTCACACTTGTCTATAGGAAGCAATACCAGTGAATGCAGTGGAACACTTTATTGTTGGTGTTCCCTTAATTTATTCCATCAGTATACCAGTAGTCTTGTCTCTGCCAAGCTGTATTTAGCCCAGTAGATAATATAATTACCAAATTCTATTTAGCAAATAGACGATAAATCTAAATTGTATTTATCCCAGTTCATAATTGAGTTACCCCAATTCTATTTAGGCACATAGATGATAAACATAAACAGTATTCAGCCCAGTAGATAATATAATTACCCAAATTCTACTTAGGCATATAGACGATAAACCTAAACTCTATTTAGCCCAGTCAATAATTGAAATACCCGAATTCTACAAAGGCAAATACGGTCGACGATTAACCTAAACTGTATTTGGCCCAGTTGATAATTGAATTAACCGAATTCTACTAAGGTAAATAGACGATAAACCTGAACCAAATAGATATTTTACCCAAGTTCTACTTATCCCAGTTGACAATAAACCCAAATTCTATTCAGCCCTGTAGACGGTCAACCCAAACTATTTACCTACTACATGAACATGACTTTTTAATTTAATGACTGTGACAAGACTAACAGGCCTTGTGCATCAGCCAACAGACAATTTACTTGAAAAGAGCTGATTGTCAATTATATAGTTTCAATTGCCCTGTTAAAAATATAGACAAGCTTTGAAAATATGAAACAACATATGAAGCAAAAATCTTACACAGGTGTGAAAGCTTGTCGGTAAAGAAGGTTCCTGAGGTTGAGAAGGGGCCACAATGTTAAATACAGCCGTAACTGTGACTCTATTCATAAATCATACAGAATTTATGTAAACGATTCCAGATTCAAAAAAAAATTTAACTGTCCAATGAAACACTATTTTTCCTACTTTAATCATTTGAAAATAATGTATTTTATCCTGAAAAGGTAAAAAATTCAATTATTTTAATTTATACAAAAATATCAATTTGTTGTCCTTAAAAAGTAAATATATATGTAATTTGATTTGTTATTTTAAAAAATTCAAGCATAACTGAGTAAGGTGCACAGTTCTATTTTCAAATAATGTCTCTGTCCCAACATTAATGATCTGTGATAGGGGTTATCATGGAAATGCAGCCAGATAATTATCACTATATCAGTACTACTAGTGCTGTTATGACATATTTCAGCATTGAAATTATGACTAGCAATGCTTTTTACAGGTATACTGAGTATCGAACTCAAGGATGATAGAAAACACTTCAGGTATTACAATTGTCAGATCTTGCATCTTGTCATCTGGATGTTGGCGGAAAGCCAGAAGTGATGCAGGTCTTAGATGTTAACCCTTTGGTGAAATCCAGGAACATGGGTAAGGGAAGCAACTCTGCATGGCGGAATGCAGCACCTTCGACAATCCAGAGGCAATTTAGATCTAGACCATGCATATAGTGCCATGTGTGAACAATGAAACATTGTCCAACAATAAAACATATTTTTTACAGCTTATTACGCTTAAGTCTTTGCTCCGACAGCCAACTGACCTGAGATGAGACCTCCTTTAAAACTGTATCTTTACCTGAAGTGAGTCCCCATTTAAATCTGTATCTTTACCTGAAGTGAGTCCCCCTTTAAATCTGAATCTTTACCTGAAGTGAGTCCCCCTTTAAATCTGTATCTTTACCTGAAGTGAGTCCCCCTTTAAATCTGTATCTTTATCTGAAGTTAGTCCCCCTTTAAATCTGCATCTTTACCTGAAGTGAGTCCCATTTAAATCAATACATGGACCTGAAGTAAGTCCCCCTTTAAATCTGTATCTTTACCTGGAGTGAGTCCCCATTTAAATCAATACTTGGACCTGGTGTAAGGCCCCCTTTAAATTTGTATCCTGACCTGAAGTGAGACCCTCTTCAAATCTATACGTTGACCTGAAGCGAGTCCCCCTTCTAATGTGTATGTTGACCTGAAGTGAGACCTCCTTTAATTTGTATCTTGACCTGAGGTGAATCCCCTTTAAATCTGTATCTTGACCTGAAGTATGTCCCTACAAACCATATCGTGAGGTTGTATGATCATATGCTTTCTGCACCTTCAGGGTTGATGTTTTTAACATCATAATGGCTCATATTTTACCAGTAGCTAGGACACAGTGCACCTTTATATTAATACAACAAAGTACTCCCGAATAGTGGATCACATAGCTCTGTATCACTGGAAGACAGCGCACAATGGGGAGCATGTCAAAAACTATACTGTCATATTAACACTACATGAAACTGGATACACACTACAGTAACACTTCATAGGGAGGTTAGATTGGGAAATAAATTAACCTTGTTTGAGTACAAATATACAAAGAGACTTCTTGGACACCAGACGCTATGCCAGTATATTTTACAAAACCAGTTCAGCTATATTATACTTTCTAGTTTTGATTTTCCTCATCAATTATAACTAAAATATAGAACTGATCTCACATCATAGTGCCATTTAGTCTCTGTAATAAATCATGATTATGCTATCGACTGTAGCATATCTCATGTGATGGAAGTCTGCAATTTGAAGAGGAGCCATCGTCAATACTTTATGGGTTTGTCTCCACAATGTTCCTCCATCGACCATGAATATTTATGGGATCTAGTCGCCATTTGTAATCAATGAATCAAGTGATGGTTCTAGCGAAAGGGAAACCAGAGAGTGCTCAGACCAATAAGCAGTCATGTTTCTCCTGCTTGACACTGTGTGCAACATTATAATGATATAGCACCAGGGGTACATGTGCATGTGGTTATTAGTGTCCTGCGTTAGGTGACGACCGGAGCCAAGTGGTATAAAACCTAATGAGGGATGCATAAAACCACATGTATCCCTCGTGATACTGCGACCAAGAATTTATCTTACATGTGTTTATCTGACATTGTAAAAAAATTAAAACTAATTCAAAATAGATAGAAAACAGCTGTTCAATTGAGCTCAGGTGAACTTGTCCTAGGTCACATGACTGTCATTGACTCGTAAAAAGTGTACATCGTCGCTTTGAAGCGGGACATAAGGGATTCATTCTCCCTCACAGAAATCCATCTGCAGCCTGTCTTCTTCATGGCGGGGTATAAGGGATTTATTTCCCTCCCAGGCGGAATACACACTATTTAGCAAGATCATGTAAACCGCTCAGATCTCTTCATTCTGACATGGAGGTATGATAAAGCCTTGTGTCATCTTATCAAGACATTGCTTCATTGTCAATCAATAGTTCGCAAGAGATCATGCACCCTGTAATCGAGAAAGTATGGCATATCGGTTGAATTTATTCACTGGTGATGAGTGTGAGTGAGTTGGGTTTAATGCCGCTTTTAACAGTATTCCAGTCATATCGCGGCGTGTCAGCTTAATGTGGGAGGAAAGCCCGAAGTGATGCAGGTCTCAGACGTTTACCACTTTGGTGAAACCCACGAGCACGGGTATGGTGCTGACAAACCTAGAAACATAATCGGGGCGATCTGGGATTCGAACCCACAATCATAGGTTTCTGGTGTGCCAAGGAACGCAACTCTGCACAGTGAATCGCGGCGCCTTAGACGACTGGGCCACCCGTGCCCCCTTCACTGGTGATGGAGGAACGTCTTGGGAAGTACAGACAATGAATAGGAACCCTATTCTCATGAAGCTGAACCATTTTAAAGATGAACTGCAAACCAGTTCTTCCATGAAGAAAATCTGTGCAATGGCTTCATGCACCATATTGTCATTAAAATTCATTATTTGCAACAGCATTTCCTTTTCTTCATTTGTGTAAATCTGAATAAAACTTCACAAAATGAAGAAAATGCAAGGATTGATGCCACTACATCACATTACAAATGATTGTTCAAAATGAATAATTTTGGAACAAAAATATTATGGGAAAGACAAAAAGACTGAAAAGGTGGTCAATACCCTTGAATCATATATAAGCTGTCAATGAGGCAACAACAAGCATTCAAACAATCATCTGTCCACTTATAGGACAATATTCATTGTGTGGTGAGTATTACTGATGTAACTCTGTAATCCATCATGCAGTGGGAAAATAGCAAGATTTTGTTTGTACAATATAGCTCTGGAATAACAATCTCAAATATTCTGTGAGCAAAAGATTGGGCGTTGGTGTTTGGGGTTGGGGATGGAAGGAGTGTGGGTATTCAGGGTGGGGCATGGATCATGGAAGGAGTGTGGGTGTTCGGGGTGGGGAATGGGAGGAGTGTGGGTGTTCAGGGTGGGGGAATGGATCATGGAAGGAGTGTGGGTGTTCAGGGTGGGGAATGGAAGGAGTGTGGGTGTTCAGGGTGAGGGATGGGAGGAGTGTGGATGTTTGGGGTGTGGGTGGTCGGGGAGGGGGATGGAAGGAGCGTGGGTGTTCGGGGTGGGGGAATGGATCATGGAAGGAGTGTGGGTGTTCAGGGTGGGGGATGGAAGGAGTGTTGGTGTTTGGGGTGGGGGATGGAAGGAGCGTGGGTGTTCAGGGTGGGGGATGGAAGGAGCATGGGTGTTCGGGGTGAGGGATGGAAGGAGTGTGGGTGTTCGGGGTGGGGGATGGGAGAAGTGTGGGTGTTCGGGGTGAAGGATGGAAGGAGTGTGGGTGTTCGGGGTGGGGGATGGGAGGAGTGTGGGGGAATGGATCATGGAAGGAGTGTGGGTGTTCAGAGTGGGGGATGGAAGGAGTGTGGGTGTTCAGGGTTGGGGATGGAAGGTGTGTGGGTGTTCAGGGTGAGGGATGGAAGGAGAGTGGGTGTTCGGGGTGGGGGATGGGAGGAGTGGGGATTGAGGGGAATGAGGTACAAGAAGAAACTACAAAGCCGGGATGTAGAAAGTCTGATAATGAGAACTGTGCTCAACTGGTTTACAGATTGTCATCCTGTCTTGTCACTACTGAAGCCACAGCCATGCAAGTGATCCAAGTGATCCATGACTACCAGAAACCCTGACAACCTGTGTGGTTTATGTGTACAAACTGACTTGATCAATATTTGTTTTGGTTATCATCTGGAACAGCAAACTAGGACATTGCCCAGATACTGGATGCCAGACACTGCCACTGAACAAGCTTTTTTGGTCTGTGGCCAGTTGAGCCAAATGGAAGGCCGTAGCCCGAGAATAAAGGTTGTGGTTCTATTCACTCCTATTTCCACTTAGGCGCGGTTGATGGTATGCAACTTTAACATAAACATTGTTTTTCTTTCACAAAACAAGCCCAATACAGTGCAAACATTCTTACTGCCAAATATTTGGTAGGTATGTCAATACAATGTTTGAGTAAACACCAAAATTTAATGTTGTTTGGGCAATGGAAGCTCAACAGTTTTATGCATGCCTTATCACAGCATTGGTGGACTGCTTGTCAGGTCACAAGGGGAGGCATGGCAACAGTGGGTACCCGGTGGGACATGCTGATGTCATCAGTGTCAGTGATTTCAATAGGGAGGTATTTGCTTTCCCCAACAAGATTGAAAGGCTTTATGATGGACATTAATTCATCCACTAACAATGCTGATAATTACACTTCTTCCATCAAGAGGCTGATGATCTGTGAATGGCACCACAAAAATGGTAGTGTGTGTCAAAAACAATTTTGCCTACGAGTCAGAACTCTTGACATATTTTCAGCAGATTTGTTTGTATACATATTGGCTATTATTAGCTGAGAACGGTCATAAGCAACTGATGATACTGTATATAAGTTTCAGTATATCGTCTCACAAATGCTGGTAATAAAATTGCACAGAGTAGGCTACAGACACAAACAATATCTGCCTAACCCTGGGATTTCTCCTTCAATCAGGAATCTGGGGGTTGATCAATCTTTATTTTAGATGATAGTGAGGCTTGCTGCTGGCACCATCTACTTCCTGTGACCTATGTTTTAGTTGAAAGTGAAGCTAGCTGCTAGCACCATCTACTTCCTGTGACCTATGTTTTAGTTGAAAGTTAGGCTAGCTGCTAGCACCATCTACTTCCTGTGACCTAAGTTTTAGTTGAAAGTGAGGCTAGCTGCTAGCACCATCTACTTCCTGTGACCTGACTATGTTGTAGATGAAACCAGGCCCGACTGTCAGTCTAGACTGGACACAGGCACTACATTCAGTCTAGACTGGACACAGGCACCTGGCCCTACTGTCAGTCTAGACTGGACACAGGCACGACATTCAGTCTAGACTGGACACAGGCCCTACTGTCAGTCTAGACTGGACACAGGCACCTGGCCCTACTGTCAGTCTAGACTGGACAAAGGCACCTAGCCCTACTGTCAGTCTAGACTGGACACAGGCAATACATTTAGTCTAGACTGGACACAGGCACCTGGCCCTACTGTCAGTCTAGACTGGACACAGGCACCTGTCCCTACTGTCAGTCTAGACTGGACACAGGCACCTAGCCCTACTGTCAGTCTAGAATGAACACAGGCACTACATTCAGTCTAGACTGGACACAGGCACCTGGCCCTACTGTCAGTCTAGACTGGACACAGGCACCTAGCCCTACTGTCAGTCTAGACTGGACACAGGCACCTGGCCCTACTGTCAGTCTAGACTGGACACAGGCACCTGGCCCTACTGTCAGTCTAGACTGGACACAGGCACCTGGCCCTACTGTCAGTCTAGACTGGACACAGGCACCTGGCCCTACTGTCAGTCTAGACTGGACACAGGCACCTGGCCCTATTGTCAGTCTAGACTGGACACAGGCACCTGGCCCTACTGTCAGTCTAGACTGGACACAGGCACCTGGCCCTACTGTCAGTCTAGACTGGACACAGGCACTACATTCAGTCTAGACTGGACAAAGGCACCTGGCCCTACTGTCAGTCTAGACTGGACACAGGCACCTGGCCCTACTGTCAGTCTAGACTGGACACAGGCACCTGTCCCTACTGTCAGTCTAGACTGGACATAGGCACCTGGCCCTACTGTCATTCTAAAATGAACACAGGCACTACATTCAGTCTAGACTGGCCTCAGGCACCTGGCCCTACTGTCAGTCTAGACTGGACACAGGCACCTGGCCCTACTGTCAGTCTAGACTGGACACAACACAAACAGTCCATTTGTGGTAGTTGTGATACATAACATTGTCCCTTGAACATTTAAGAAAAGGATATGTCAGTTTAAATGTAACAAGAATTCATAGTCCTCTTTTCATTATACAAACACTAAAAATATGTAATGATGGTATTAGTCATATCAAGGTCAAGCCAATATTGTATACACTGTGGGCCAAAAGCACTATGACAGTATCCACCAGGTCCAAACCCTGTGATGAATGCAAGAGGTGAAGACTCCATGGTGAAGCTGACGTCACTTCCTGTCACCAGAACATCCAGTTCTTCTTCCGTAACTTGCCACGCCCACCAACTTCTCCACCAAGTCGATCACGCAGCTGAAACAAAGGGAGATAACTGTGTGAAAGGATTTTTATTGAAAGAGTTGTAGCATGTGTAAACAAGGCAAAATACCACTGAATACATGGGACTTGGATATACCCACACTGGGATGTGAACCTTGGTTTCCTTCCTGCAAGCAAACATACTTTCTACTGGGTTAATCTCCTGTCCTAAGTAGAACAATTATACAATAAAACCTTGAAGCTAAGTGATGGTGACCATCGACAACAAAGGTATCCTGTTTCAAGACTGGTGAGAAAGTGGTGTTGATATATGACCATATTATCGTAAAAATTCCATGAAGTTACATTGAAACATGTCAAATAGAGTGTAATTCAAGGTTTCACTGTATTGAAGCTTTCTGATCAAATATGACAAAACAATTGTCATGTGGGCTAGGGCTCTGATGGGCAGAAGATAATGGATCATTAAGTTAAATATTTGAGTGCCTGATTGCAATGGTAATATGCCACACAATCAACAGTTGGTCTTTTTCCCCAGCACCATCTAATTATAAATGTGTCCAGATACTGAGTCCATTTGTCTTCCATGTCTGCAACATGGTTGGTTGGTTTGTTGTTTAACGCCGCACTCAGCAATATTCCAGCTATATGACGGCAGTCTGTAAATAAACGAGTCTGGACCAGACAATCCAGTGATTAATATCATGAGCATCAATCCATGCAATTGGGATTGATGACGTGCATCAACCAAGTCAGCGAGCTTGACCACCCGATCCCGTTAGTTGCCTTTTACGACAAGCATAGTCGCCTTTTACGGCAAGCATGGGTTGCTGAAGACCTATTCTACCCCTGAATCTTCACGGGTCTGTCTGCAACATGACTTTGAGAAGTGAGGATGTGTGTTATCTCCCATGGCTGGCAATCAAGTCTTTGGTGAGACAATCTAAACCTGACCTGTGCTCAAGCACTCAAATACCGTGTAGAGCCCAAATGTGAACTTGACAACAGGGGTCTGGTACTGCCACTTCAAACAGAAAGACAGGTGTCAGGTACTGCCACATTCCGACACAATGACAGGCGTCAGGTAGTGCCATGCCTGACACAATGACAACAGGTATCTGTACTGCCACGCTCAACACAATAAAAGCAGGTGTCTAGTACTGCCACGTCCAACACAATGACAACAGGTGTTTGGTATTGCCACTTCTGACACAATGACAAGAGCTATCTGGTACTGCCACACTTGACACAATGATAACGGCTGTCTGGTACTGTCTGCCTGACACAATGACAACAGGGATCAGGTACTGCCACATCCAACACAATGACAGGTGTCAGGTACTACCATGCTCGACACATTGACAACAGGTGTCTGGAAATTGCCATGCTCACCACAATGACAGGGGTCTGGTACTGCCATGCTCAACACAATGACAACAGGTGTCTGGTATTGCCACACTTAACACAATGACAACAGGTGTCTGTTTCTGCCACGTCCAACACAATGACAACAGGTGTCTGGTACTGCCACGTCCGACACAATGACAACAGGTCTCTGGTACTGCCACGCTCAACACAATGACAGATGTACGGTACTGCCATGCTTGGCACAATGACAACAGATGTCTTTACTGTCGTGCCTGACACAATGACAATAGATGTCTGTATTGCCATGCTCCACACAATGACAGGTGTCAGGTACCGCCACATCTGACACAATAACAGGTGTCTGGTACTGCCACATCCAACACAATAACAGGTGTCTGGTACTGCCAGGCCTGACACAATAACAGGTGTCTGGTACTGCCATGCCCGACACAATCACAACAGATGTCTGTACTGCCATGCCCGACAGGGTGGTGTCAGGTACTGCCATGTTCAACACAATGACAACAGATGTCTGTACTGCCATGTTCAACACAACGACAACAGATGTCTGTACTGCCATGCCCGACACAACTGGTGTCAGGTTCTGCCATGTTCAACACATTGACAACAGGTGTCTGGAAATTGCCATGCTCGACACAATGACAGGGGTCTGGTACTGCCATGCTCAACACAATGACAACAGGTGTCTGGTATGCCACACTTAACACAATGACAACAGATGTCTGTACTGCTATGCTTGACACGATGACAACAGGTGTCTGGTACTGTCACGTCCGATGCAATAACAGATGTCTGTACTGCCATGACTTGACACAATGACAGGTGTCAGGTACTGCTATGTCTGATACAATAACAGGTATCTGGTACTGCCATGTCTGACACAATAACAGATGTCTGTACTGCTATGCTTGACACAATGACAGGTGTCAGGTACTGCCACATCCGACACAATAACAGATTTCTGTACTGCCATGCTTGACACAATGATAGGTGTCAGGTACTGCTATGTCTGATACAATAGCAGGTGTTTGGTACTGCCATACCCGACACAATAACAGGTGTCTGGTACTGTCAGGCCCGACACAATAACAGGTGTTTGGTACTGCCAGGCCCGACACAATAACAGGTGTTTGGTACTGCCAGGCCGGACACAATAGGAGATGTTTGGTACTGCCACGTCCGATACAATAACAGGTGTCTGGTACTGCCAGGCCCGACACAATAATAGGTGTCTGGTACCGTCAGGCCTGACACAATAACAGGTGTCTGGTACTGCCAGGCCCGACACAATAACAGGTGTCTGGTACTGCCAGGCCCGACACAATAACAGGTGTCTGGTACTGCCACGTCCGACACAATAACAGGTGTCTGGTACTGCCAGGCCCGACACAATAACAGGTGTCTTGTACTGCCAAGCCAGACACAATAACAGGTGTCTTGTACTGTCAGGCCCGACACAATAACAGGTGTCTGGTACTGCCAGGCCCGACACAATAACAGGTGTCTGGTACTGCCAGGCCCAACACAATAATAGGTGTCTGGTACTGTCAGGCCTGACACAATAACAGGTGTCTGGTACTGCCAGGCCCGACACAATAACAGGTGTCTGGTACTGCCAGGCCCGACACAATAACAGGTGTCTGGTACTGCCACGTCCGACACAATAACAGGTGTCTGGTACTGCCAGGCCCGACACAATAACAGGTGTCTTGTACTGCCAAGCCAGACACAATAACAGGTGTCTTGTACTGTCAGGCCCGACACAATAACAGGTGTCTGGTACTGCCAGGCCCGACACAATAACAGGTGTCTTGTACTGCCAGGCCCGACACAATAACAGGTGTCTGGTACTGCCACGTCCGACACAATAACAGGTGTCTGGTACTGCCAGGCCCGACACAATAACAGGTGTCTGGTACTGCCAGGCCAGACTTGCCCAGCACAGTTTATAACACTGTCTGGTAGAATCTCCCGTTTTCAGAAAGAAATAACTGAGTAGAATCTATTACCAGAAACAGGTGTCTGTGCAAACACTTTCAAAGAATGTTGGTCAACAATTTGACTCTAGTCCTGAAGTCTAAAGGATGAATGCAAGGATGGAGGCTCAATAGCAGTGTGACTGGGTGCGTTTTGTTGTGATTCATGCAATTGTGAAGTGAATCTGGCAAAACAATAAATTCCAGGCCTGAAGGTGTTACTTCATTAATGCAAGCAAGGGACATGCACATTTACACAATAGTTTCGTGAGTGATGGAGTAGGGTTTCATATGGTATTCCTGAATTCCAGCTGTGCCATTTTACTGTGTGAGGTGGGCACAAATAGACACACTGTAGATGTCTACTATGTTCATGAAACCCAGGGGGGTTTGGTGGTGACAGACCAAGGATGGCAGTCAGGGAGTCAAGGATTCGAACCCATGCTTACAGAATCTCACAGATAAGGCCTTTCACTTTTCTATCTGTTGGTTTACAAAAGTGACCGACACAAAAAAATTAAATAAGAAAATAATAAATTTTTTGACAAATGTTTTGATCATTGAGTAAAGCTTATCATTAATTGTGGTTTGGAGGCCAGAACAAGGATCATTTACTACTGATGGCTCCTGATACTACATTAAAGGTCACCATCATACCTGTTGGATGCTTGTTGGTGTTTACAATGATGATGGAATCGGTCAAACCATCAGCAACAAACGCTAACCCCATCCTACCAAATTCAAGCTATACTGAACAAAATGTAGTGAAAATTGAGCCCAAAAATATTCATGATCCCTAACTTTTTTTGTTCAGTATAGTTTGTTTCCTAATAGCAGCAAGTAATTTTTTTAAATGAATTTAGTTTCAACCACCTATATTGAAATTAGGGTCCAACATTTTGTAAAACCAACAAATTAAAAATAAAAGGCCTCAACATGCAGAAGGTGACAATCCTGCTAAGAGGATCTAATAGTTCTATTTTGAAATCCTTACAAAGGAACACACGTGTTTTCAGGGCAGGGGAATATGGCATAACAAATACAGAATCAAGCTGTGTAAAAGAATGTACAAAACACACATCTATTCTACTGTTTATTTCTCAACCGTCCTCATAAACAACATGACATAGACAAGCACGCAGTAAAACAACATAACGGCTGGATCGAGAGCCAGCCAGTCAGCAGCTTCATTCCACAAACATTATGATCTGTATCAATATTGTATGTCTTACATACATACAGAGTTAAAACCACAAGAAATGATATTGAGCATTTAAATTAATTTCTCATATTTAGCAATGGAAACATTTTAAACAGCAATGACTACATGTATTAGTGTATGTGTTGAAAACATTAAGGATCCCAAGATCCTTAACTCTGACTGAAAATATGAAAAGTCTTTGAGACAACGGTATCAGTGCAATAATGTTTTGCAAAAGAATATAATACCATTCTTTATGAAACACAGTGGACTTGAAAATACAGTAATTATTAAGCTTAAATCAATGAGTGTATTTGCCTTAAATAACACTAGATCATAATGAAAAGCAAATTTGAGACAAGATAGACACAATTTTATGGATAACAACTTCTTTAATACTGTAAAAAAGCGACGTTTCGGTATAGATCCTTCTACCGTTGTCAAGCAAGTATAAGGATCAATACCGA